ATATAAAATATTTAAATTTAATCCATTATTCATGATTTTACATATTGTAGATAGAATACATCGTATGTTGCAACCCTTAGGTATAACAAACCATGGGCGAAGTTAAGGGGGGGCTTGGGGGGCTAAGCCCCCCAAAAACCAAATTAGCCCCCCCAAAAATAGTTCGAACATTTATCGCACATCCATTCATACATTTCAGATTTCAGAACAGAAATTAAAAAATAAAATAAATTGATTCTGCAATTTTACATTTAGTTTAGGAGGCAGTGAATTTTTTTCGTATTCATTTTTCCAGTGAAAATAAAAATAAAAAATAAATTGTTCTCTTAGGGACAAAAACAAAATTTTTGAGTCTGACACTTATTTTCCCAGTCATAATTATTTTACATTTACTAAACTAGAACATAAAGCTTATAAAAATAGCAGTTTGGATTATCTTAGATAGTGAAAAGTGAGTGTGGCAGAAAATTAAGCATATAAAATTGATACAATTATGAATAATAATAAGTCTGGCTGATTTACGAAATAGGCTAATGAGTCTGGTAACATCTTCTAAATCGAAAAAATATAATATTTTTGCTTTTATTTTACCGGGTTTGAAAATTTGTCACGTGATAGATTAAATTATAATTTTACACCTCTATTTTATAGCCAATCAAATGCTGTTATTTTAAAACGCTTCTATGACAACCAGAAAAATTTCCGGAAATGTTTCTTTTGGTGGGTACCCTGAACGAAATTATACTTAAAATTTTTTTGACAGTTGAGCAGCTCTTTCATACATATAATATTACGACGCAACGCAATAGTGTGATTAAAAAATTTGCCATTTCAGTGGTTAATATTTTATTTAATACAAATTATAACTAGGTAGAAATACAGTACATTTCTTTTAATAATAATTAGGTTTTTTGCGTCAACTAAACGACTTTAAATATGGCAAATGGTCATGGTATGGCCACAGCATATAAAACATATGTTTTTTTATTTGATTTTAGTCGTTTTAATGCATATCTGTAAAGTTTTTAAATTTGTATATTTTGGTGTAAAACTTTCTTACCCAATACCACACGTGCCTAAATTATTATCAGAAATTTTTTGCCCACTTTTGTATGACCGAAGGAGTGGTTACGGTTTCGGCCAACTTTGGCTTTAAATAAGAGTTTCGACTACAGTTTCGGTTTCGGCGGAAAACTGGCCGAAATTGCAGCCGACAACGAAACTACTTTTAAAAGTTTTCGTTTTATAATTGGTTGTGTCCGGCATAATGCCGACTGTGCCGGGTGCCATTCCTACACAGTGCACGTACACACAAACTTATCTGCTTTGTTTCAAGTGAACATGTCAATAAATTTATTAATGGCTTCTTTTGATCACATAAATAAATAGGTAATAAGTAAATGTAGCTAAAATTTATAATACGAGTTAATTAGTCTAAAACAAGGATTACAATAAGATATTGCAAATTTCAATAAGAGATTGCCTTAAAAGAAAGTTCTTGTTTCTGTTTCGGTTTCGGTCGAAACTAAGAAAGGAGCCGAAATTTGGTTCCTGTTTCGGTTATGAAACCGTATTTCGGGATGTTCCACATAAGCCAGATTGTATTTTAAGCTGTTATCATAACATACATTTTTCTAGTAGTGATAACACTTGGGCATTGCCAACTAAAAGGACACCTTAGTAAACTGAGAGTAGTAGAAGCTAGTGACTGCAGATTCTGTAAGGAGGAGGAATAAACATTCATTCACATTCTGAATGTGTAGCACTCCAGAATCCAAAGGCGCTATACCTAACTTGAAACCACTCCAAATCCTACATTTCCTTGAGAAGATATAACTGGAAGGGTCGTTATTCGCGATTAAAGCTAAGTGATACGCCCTCTGGAGGAAATTTGTAGAAGGTCCCTATAAGTAGGATATCGTTCAGTGTTGCCAAAACTAGCAAAATTTCGCTACGTCGTCGGATTTTAGCTCTTGAAGAAGTGGACAAGATCTTTTATTTAAGAATCAAAATTTGTGTATAATAATATGTAATCATACTGTATATTTATTTAAGGATTTTTTTATTAAACCGATTTATTATATTGATTTTTTAAATTTCAGTTCATTTATTAATTTTGTATTAAAATCAGTTCATCATTTGGCAATATTGGCATTTATTGTTTACCTACATTTTAATTTGTATCAATATCAATTCGAGTTTTTTTTTACTTTTTAGCTTTAAATTTGTTTATTTCTTATAGTATGTGATAGTGTTTATATTAAAAATGAAATCTGCGAAAAAGTCCCCAGCAAATTGCAATCTATATTGTGTTAATGTCAAAATCAAAACTGAAGTATTCATTATTTTCCAAATGCAAGTCGTAAAGTTTTGTTTTTTACCATAAATGGATATCTACAAATTCACAATATTAAAATTTTGCAAAACTTTGTTTAGAATCGAAACTGTAATCTGATTTGTGACGGTTTTAATACCATTTACATGTATACAAAGTACTACATAATTCACTTCATAATATAAGAATAAGTCTAGTAAGATATAATTTCAACAATAATAAACGTTTGGTACCTGAAATGCCCTTTAAACCACATAATAAAACATGTCCTGGGTTTAGTAAATACGTATTTCTAAATATTCTTGTAGCAACCAATAGGTGAATATTTCCAACAAATTAAGTCATACACATGATAAAAATTAACATTAAATGAAACTCAAAAACACTATTACAATGAGAATATTATCTAAAAACAGTTTAAAAAAATCACAAATACAAAATCCGTCCAAAACAAACACATGTAAATAAACAAACATCCTACTTATAGGTGACAAATGACAGGCGCGCGAAAATTAATTTGAATCGCGAATAGGCATTGAGACATTTCCTTGCTGCATTAGCGACAGAAGGGGGTACAATAAATCTTTTAGGTCGCAGTGTATTAACACCCCATTCCCAAAATAACATAACATAGAACACTGCAAAAAAAATGAAATCCATCAATTACAGTTCATATTTTTTAATTTTTAATCATTAAGATTACATATACGTTAAAATTGGATATTTTTGTTTAGAATCGATAAAAAATAGCATTTTTATTTTTATTTGGGCCACATTAAAAAAAATCAATTTTAATCAAATTGTATGAAACTAATTTAATTACGAGTATTAAAACTAAAAACCTAAAAATGACGATGGAGCTGAGGACAGAGCATCTGCCTTCCACGCGAATAGCCTGGATTCGAATCTGGACTAGGGGCTAATTTTTTTTATGTTTATTTTATTTTATGAATTAATAAAATTCATAAATTATTTTAAAATTAGTTATTTTGTCTAAAACTAAACTATTTTTTTAAATTTGTAAATTTTCGTTAGTGGTTCGTAGAAAAACTATACTGTATAACTCGAGTGGATTGTCCATATCTACTCTTGTTGCACAAACTATTATTTCATGACTGCTAAAATGAGGAAAATTTTTGTGATGAAAATTTTTCACTTAATACAACTATATATTATATGATATTTTATCCATTTTCATAGATTTGCCAGAATTTTTTTACTTAACTTCAGTATACCTCTAGAACTATTATATATTATATGACTTGGGCTAGGGCTTTAGCCCCCCCAAATCTGATGACATAACTTCGCCCATGTAACAAACCTTGCCACTGGCAATTCATTTGTTTGGAATGCCTAATTTTATTGGGTAATGGACGTCATTGAATGAATTTTACTGTGTGAATTTGCCAGCTATACATTTTCTTTCGAAAAATGAATACCAATTATTAAGAAAACGGATGACTGGAAAAATGTATTAAGCTTTCTTGTTATCAATAATCTCAACTACCCACGCCTGCGAAATATCCAAGCCTGTAGAACAACCTAGATTTTCAAAAAATAGTCATTTCCCCATCGTTGCGGTTTGTGAATTTAGCCTCGATTTTATTTTTAGATTAAAATAAATATCTACTTCTTATTTAATAGTACAAGCATATACATAATCCAAAATCCAAAGTTCCAAAACATACCCGTTTTTCGACCTTGTTCTATAAATATTTAACTGGACAAATATTATAACCTATTTCTTAACATTGTAAAACAGGCGACCGGCTGATAATTTGAATTAGGTTGAATGAAATCATACAATCGAGACCCCATTGCAGAAATTCATTGCATAAGTGCATATAAATATAGAACACAGACATGGTACATCAATTGCTGCTATCAGTAGCGTAGTGTTTTCAAACAGTAGTAACATGTTTCCGCCATTACTATCCAATTTAATCATTTAAATATTATGCAAGTGTTTGCTGCAATAATTATTTATTTGTCTCGATGGAATTATTCATATGTGTATAACAATCAAATACATCCCAAGATGTATATGTATATTTTAAAATATTATAACCCTTTATGGCAGTGTTTTTTTTTTTAATTTGGTATCATCGGCATCAACTACTAAGGTTATTAGCCTCGTGTTCAGGGTTGGCTTTGTTGCTGTTTCCCAGCGCCACTTTGGGAACAGCATTGTTAATTAGAACCCAACAGTGAATGGTCAAGTGGGGAATCCTACCAAGGCATCAGAATTAATTTTAAATAAATTAGATGAAAAAATCCCGGCAAACGGTGTGATTCGAACCCGGGACCCTTGGATCCGCAGACAGAGACTCTACCACTAAACCACCCACTTCGTTCTTACAGTTTTATTTCTAATTATAAAGATATAATGGTACCAAATAATAATACGCGTTCATTTTTGGAATTTTAAAAGTGGACTGAAAAACGGGCAAAAAGGTTTCAATTTTTTCTTTACGGTACAACCACATGTGGTCTTTATAAAATAATTGTCTAGGTCCCTGGTCATCTGAAATCGGCAATTAGAACATTTTTTAATAGGGACAACATTTTTTATTGCGAAATTATGGTCAGACTTTGCAAGAAAATGACAAACTTGTGACGCAAAATCCGAGATTGAAAGGAATAAAAACAATTATATGTGCTGCAGAGAAAAGGAAACACTTGTGCTCAAAAGATTTTACATCAAAAGGAAGACATTCTAGGAGGGAAGGTTAAAGTAAAATTTCATAAAACTTGCAGAAAAACATTTATTAGTTCACAAAATATTGGATATATTTCTCAAAGCAGTGAAACCGAAAACGCTTCATCGTCTCGGACAAGATATCCTAAAGACGGATTTAATATTCGGCAAATATGTCTAATATGTAACAGATCTGGAAAGAAAGGCCAACAGCGCTTAACATCTGTGCATACAGGTAAGTTAATATTTTTTTGATTAATAACTATAAAAGCTAAGTTACTTCCGTTTAAAAAATCTTGCTTCACATTTTTAATAGCAAATTATTTACTAAACTGAAAAATACTGATTTAGGTAAAAAACTTTTTCTTCGCAATATTTTTTTCTCATTAACAGTTATAACCGTTAGATATTAAGTAATATGCTGCTATCTTTTGTTTTTTTCTTATTTAGGAACCGGCAAATATACGTACTCCAAGATAATTAAAGCTGCCCAAAAACGACAAGATATTGAAATTAGCTGGTTATGAGGACATTTTTACCTATGGTGCTAAATATCACAAAAGCTGTTATTGTCAGTACATTGGTAAAAGAAACATCACAGCTTGTCAAAATAAATCTGATATTACCACAACTTTGCAACCATTAAGAAATGAAAGTGTATTATCAGACTCAACCAGCTCAGACTCCACTGCCTCTTACAACGAAGATTTCCAGGTTATTAAAGAGAACGAAATCCTTATTTTACACAAAGCGGCGGGTATTTTAAAGAAAAAAATTAGAGAATTTCATATCCCACAAAGCAATTTTCCAAATCCGGATGATATGAATCAGGTAGAGTTTGAAAAGCAAGTACCTAATGAGTTGCTAAAATTTGTATCATGGTTAATAGATGATGATTGCTACGAGAGTGTAAACGATAAAATTATATCATAAGTAGCTGTTCCTTGTAACATTATTATGAGCCTTTATGACAAAATGTTTAGATGAAATAATTTTTAAATGGGAATAGGAATCTATGTTTATCATTTAGTACGTAGTCAGAAAATTTTAGATATTTTATCAAATATTGGTCTAAGTTGTAGCTATAATGATATAAGACAATAATTAACAACTTCCCTAGCGAACAAAAAAATCTCTAGCGACACGGTGTATGTACCACCTAGTCTTGAAATGGTTGAGGAATCAAAAGGCAATTATATCCATGCCAGTATTGATAATTTTGATCTAAATGAGGATACAATAGATGGAAAAAATACCACACACTGTATGGCAATAGTAGTATTTCAAAAACATTCCGATACGCGTAGATTTGTCGATGAAAATATTCTCAAAGCATATTCTTTAAAATTATCAGAAGCATTGGAAGTTAGTACTAAATATATACTTTATTTGTATAAAAACAAGTTGCCTCCTACTGATCATGCTTTTAAACAACATTTAAAAAGGTAATAAATAGGTATTTTTCTAAGTCGCCCGCATGGCATTTATATAATAAAAAAATACCTACAAATAGCTATAATATGTATCTATTATTGTTTTAAGTGTCTGTATCAATTAAACATTTGGTACAATAGCCACATTCAAAATATTCCACTAGAAGATCCGACTCTATACGGATGGACATTAGAAGAATATATTTGGAAAGCCAATTTTTCTTCTCAAGAACCAATGCCCGATAATGTAAGAACAATTTTGCCTATACGATATTCAGACAAAAATTGTAACAATAATAAGTGTACCTGCATTTCACAAGGGTTAAAATGCTGCAGTGACTGCAAATATACAAACTGCTGTAATAGCCTAACCTATGAAATTTTATCAGACTGCGAAGATGAAGACTTTTAAAATATGTTTTTTGTTATTTAGTTTAATTAGTTTTATAATTTTTTGTTTAATGTTTTTGCGATTTTTTTAGAGACTTGAGTTTTTTTTTGTTTTTGTTTTTGTTTGATCAGATGTACCTATTAAATAATGTCAAATAATGGTCAATATAAATATCTTTAATTTAAGTTGCTATAAAAAGAGTTTATTCGTGCGATGAAGATAATTTTAATAATAAAATTTTATATTGTTAATCTAAACTAAAGCAATAACTAAACTATAACTGTTTTAAAATGTTTAGGAACTTTTATTAATTTACAGGTCACAGGTATAATTAAGTCGGAGCCCCCACAATAACGCTAACAGTATTTTTAACTAGCTGCAGGGCCGCGGCGCCGGAGCGGTGGCCCATGGAGGTGCGGAACCTTTTAACTTCAAGTAACTATTGCTTGAAAACTATGATACATAGAATAGTGATTGTTGTTTTAAAAACTTTCTTGAAGCTTTAGCTTTATTTGGTACGCAGATAGTTTAGTGAAATTTTGAAAAATAAAAAAGTTTCTCGATTACTGAAAATAGTGCGGCAAAAAAATAATTATTAAAGTTTTGTCTAGTTTTACAAAAAAACTAGGTTTTCTATACTAATGAAACTAACGCAGTAATCTCCGCTTACGTTTCTTCTGCCGATTAAAAAAAAAAGTTGAAAATATCTTGTTTAGTTCCGGAGATATCGCGAGGTATGTGTGAAAAAGTAATAAAACATCATTTTGACAGATTTTTAACAAATTTCGCAATAAAAAATGTTGTCCCTATTAAAAAAATGTTGTAATTGCCGATTTCAGATGGCCAGGGACCTAAACTATTATTTTGTAAAGACTACATGTGGTTGTACCTTAAAGAAAAAATTGAAACCTTTTGCCCGTTTTTCAGTCCACTATAAGAGTTAAAAGTATGTGTTTTGATTTGTGTTCCCCATTTTTGCATGTTTTTAAAGGGTTTTAATTAAAGTTTGACAATTTCTTCAGAATTAAATATTTTCGATTTTCAAAAAATGATCATCTGGTAAGCAGTGGATTTTAGCATGTCACCTAGATGGGACAATTAACTTAAAAAATGGTAAGTATAGGAGCTCTTATTTGAAAAATGAAAAATTTGATTCACATTTATTAATATTCAGTGTCACTGGTTATACAAAATTCTGATTCGGTCACATGAACATAAATTTCATGTACATATATTATGACTAGATGATCTTTTTGCAGCTCGTAGTTGTTCTGTGCACTTCAAAGTCTCTGTTTCGAAGTGCCCATAAATAGCTGACATTGGAAACCTGGTGCTGGGCCTACACTAAGTATTTCCAAATTGCCCGCAGCAATCCAGAAAAGGCATGTGAAGAACGTAAGCTGGGATCAGTTAAAAGAAGACAGCCATATGAATTTTGGAATTTTAAAAGCAATTGAAGCAGCTAGTGAAGAGCTTACGTACACAGAACATTTTCCCGAAGACCACCAAAAAAACTAGTACTTGAATCATGACATCCGTATTTGCATTTTTCAAAAATATATATAATTATACACCCTGTACAGTGGTTTTACTCGAATCTTGTTCGTTTAAATTATGCATTATGGTTATAAACTTATGTAAGATACATGGCTTTAAAATAAAGCGTCTTTGCTCAATGTACTTTATTATACCTTATTCTTGTTTTAGTTGCGAGAATAAATTAACTAAATGTTCAAAAAATTGTACAATATTTGTAATTATACAATAACTTTTCTGCTTTCACTTCATAAAAACCACAACCTTTAACAATGAAGTAATCTTCTAGTTTTTTATTATCGAGATGTGTCGGCTTTTTATGCCAAGTGATGTCATCATGCGCAGGAACATACCGGTATTTGTGGCAGATGCATTAAATTTACTCGCCTACATGTATGGAGGTTGAGCGGGAACAAGAAGGTACAAAGTAACGCCATCTGCACTTAATAAGTAAAATCAAAGCTCACTTGTAGTACCCAGTTTACAAACAAGATGGAAAAAAGCCAAGTGATAAATTTTTCAAAAAAAAAAGGAAAATAATTCCAAACTCAAATGTGACCAAGACGTAAAATAAATAAAAACAATAATTTTTCCAAGTCATGTATTTTTCATTGGATATAATTCAATGCCTGTTGCGGTATTAGCCAAACGAGTTGATATTTTCCATTATTTTCCATTGGTTCATTTGTACAGTGAAGACCCAGTTCAATTTCATAAAAACACATTATTTTAAAATTACATAAATAACATAAAAATATAAATTTAATTTTAATATTTTTATTTTCATACGTGTTAATTTATATTTTTTGGTACATCATTGCTTTCTGGCTGATCGTGTCTCTGTGGCACAATATACCTAAGTATACCTTGTCTGTGGCGCAATATGATGAGTAAGCCTAACACGAGTGAGACGATTTGGCGAATACACATAGCTAAAAAGAGAAGACAACACGCCAAAAGATCCTTCAAACTGTCAAAAATACATTAATTGGTGCGCCGCTCACAAACAAGGTTGCCAAACCAGTGTTGCCAGTCTAGTACATTTCACAATTATACTAGATGTAGTACGTTCTGCGTGCATGAGTGTTCACGTGTAAAATGTATATATTGTGTTCCTTGTTTGGGTTCGTTATCATTAATGGTCCCCTTTTTTCCTCTTCAATGAATTTAGATGTCACTGCAAATAGAATTCGAAAAATCTGGTACATTTAAGGAATCTGGTACATTTTTTAGACAAATCTGGTACATAACAAAAACATATTCTGGAAACACTGTACATAATCAAACAAACTGTCAATACTGTCATTCCGTCGCTTTTAATACAATTAAGATTATTTTATTTGTGATTTTTTTTTTAAAAATGTGTTTAATTGAGAACTGCAACTTTAATAAATTGGAAGGATGTGTGTCAATGTAATGATTGTTCCAGAAAAACTTTTAATGCAAGGTAAATAAATAAAAAAATTTAAGGTTATGTTGGTTTATTTGCTTTATAATAAAGTTTTACGACTGTAATTTGTTTTATATTTTGTTTCACTGTCTAAGACCATCCAAAGACAACTTCAAAAAGGTCTATTTTGTATACAATTGTAAATACTATAAAGTAAGAAGTAAGCAAAAAATTTGTAAATTTTTTTTTCCACAAAACCCGCTAAAAGGAAAAATTTAATTATTCTGATGAGGTAACTTATTTGACATCATTATGGAAAAGTCTGAATCGGAAAAATGGATCAACCAGTTAATTTAATATACTCGTTGAGAAATTTTACCTAAGAAATGGTATGTACATTTAAATAGTTTATCTATATAAAGTTATATTTGCTTGTAATTATCAATCGTGTTACCCTCTAACCTATATCGTTTGTTGCATACAAACCAGAAATCTTTTATTTTAATAACATTTTTTTATTGCCTTGTTTGTATAATTTAGTATTTTCAAAAATATTAGATGTTATGGTAATTTGGATTACTGCAGGTATAAAAATAAGGCTGTTGGTAAATTAGTTTACAGTTGATAATGAAGGATGTCTCGAAAAAAGCAATAAGTATCAAACATAAATTGTGATTTTGATTAGGCACTTAACAAGTCACATCTCACATATCTATATGCTCTGGCTAATCAATCCTATAAGTACATATCAAAACATTAATATAATATCTACAATTAATCAATAATTTGAAAATACAGATGAAGCCGATTTACCTATTTATACAAAAAAACTATTATTCTGTTATTTATTAAAACACATTATTTTTTAATGAACATGGACATGCCATGAGGATAAGATAGAGTGAAAGCAAGAATACTTTGGAATGTGCTGTGAAATACACTTAGAAAGGGTTATATGGAGAATTAAGTGTGATAACATTTTACGATGTGTATCTGACTAGTTTAGTTCACAGATTTATGTAAATGTGCTGCTATTTCAAACGTTTAGTATTCTTTGATAAAAGAAGTTGAATATTATTGTTGACATTTTTAAATTGTTTATTTTACTTTATACATTTTTTTTTCTACTCTTCATATAGTATTCTGTGAAGAGTATTATAGGTTTACTTTGTCTGTCTGTCCA